TTTTTTTTTATTTTCTTCCCTTTTTCTTCTATTGTTTTCTCCTTCCTTTTTGCAAGTCATTAGCCCAGATATCCGCTCCACAATATTGTGTTCGGATGTTTAGACCTCGTGTTAGTACATGGATCATATGGTTTTGTGTGTTTAGAAATTATTAGCTGCGATTTTTGAGTTGATGAGTTTCCAGTTTCAGAAGCTTCGTTAATCTCGCATGGAAAATTTAGAAAATTACAATTTGTCCCCCCAACTTTCGAATAATGGCATTAAGGCCCAAAAATTTGTGAAAAATGAATTGATCTTCTTTTATATGTCTTATACCTGTTTTAAGTGATTTATTTCTGGATTTTAGGATATAATTAAGGTTTAAACAATTTTGTTGGATTTAATATGCCTAGTTAAACACTTTTTTTCTTTTGGGGATTTATGAAATCAATTTAAGAAGTAGGTTAATGTTATTTTGTTGGGTTTTGGTGGATGGGTTTGTTGTTTATTTTCTATGGGTTATGACTTGAACTGTGGGAGCTAAAACCCAACATTTTTTATTGGGCTTGTTCTAGTAAAATTAGTGGACTAGCCCATTTTTTTTCTCCGGGTTTTCCTTCTGGCCGGAATGGGTTTGGGCCGTTATTGTTGCCCAAAGCCTTTCGGCTTACAAAACCAGAAACAAAATTTGCAATTGATCCCCTGATCTTTTGTTTAATTCCATTTTGGCCCTAAAACTTTCAATTAGGTTCTTAATTTAATTATAATTCGATCCCTAAATTTTATCTTTTATTTAATTTTGACCCCTAATGTTTTTAAGAATTATAATTTGATACCAAAAACTTTTCAATTTTTGTAATTAGGTCCCTGATTACTTTGATTTCTTAAGTACAATTTGTTTATCTTCTTTAATTGTTAATCATGCCTTATTTAAATACATTTAATTAAGTAAATTTTAAGGGTTTTATGTTTATTTATATTTCCTTATAATAATAAAGTGAATTTGCTATATGATTCCATTTTCTTTTAAATTGTTATTTAAATTGGTGACTTGACTATTTTGTTGATTTTGAAATATAAATAGGGCAAATTCTACCTCATTTAACTACTATTTCAAGGGAGGTAACTTCTATTATTATTTTAAATTCTTTTATGTGCTCATATGTGCTTTTTTATGTGTAATTGCATGTTTTGAATACTTTTTTATTTTATTTTATTTTATTTACTCATTTTATCCAGTTTAAATTTTCATTTATTTTTGATTATTTGTGAGGCACTTAAATGCTAATTTGTAATAGATAAGTGCACAAGAAATATATTTAGTTAGGCTATGTAATAGATAGATTTTATTTTCACCAAAAATGTAGTTAGTTAGGTTATTATTTTTCAAATTCCCCCTTTAGATTATAGTTAGAACCCCCAACGTAATAGTTAGTTTTTATATGCTTGCATGCTTGTGTGCTTATGTATTTATTCGCTTTCTCTAAGATTTTGCATCTAAATATTATATCTATGTATTATGTGCTTTATGTGCTTATTTGATTTAATTGTACTTTATATATTTTATTTATTTATAATAAGTGCATGACGTCACCACACTAGTCCAATGCTAGTTGTGCCCATTCTTCCCGATTTCTCACTAGTCGAACGTTGGTGAGGATTTGTAAAAATAGACTAGTCCAATGTTAGATCATTTAGGCCGTTTTCGCACTATATTCATACTTTCGCATGACATTTATTGCATCTCATGCATATTTTCCTATTTTAGGTTATTTTCATTTATATGATATTTTTCTTACTATTATTTCCTTATCCTCTATATGTTTGGACCATATCATTTAGAATTGCATCTCATTTTAATAAATTAGAAATAGATGAATCCATTTACTTAATTAGGTTAGAAAAATTACCCTTCGAATAAGGGAAATGAGCAAATGTGACTTTTTAACCTTAGCACGCTTCTATTCTCCTCTATAAGAGGAAAAATTGAATCACGAACTTTAGTTTCCCATACCCGTTATGTTTCATTCCCCTCCTCTAGGTCATTTTTTTTTTATCTACATATTATAATTTTCCTTTTCCGAGTCTAATATTTTGCATTCTTTGTGACCTCGCCAAAGAATCGTTTTGGACTTCACAGTTAATGTGATTTACACCAATTAAATTTTGAAAAGTGATAGAGCAATTATTAGGCACCTTTTACGCTGTTATTCTGTCATAATTTTGGCTACCTACTGTGCTAAGTATTGAGGTTTTGCTCATATTTGATATTTGTGTAAATTATAGGTGGTTGGTGTCAAAAGTGATCTCCCGAGGCAAATTTTCAGAAGACTCTTTATTTCATGGCGTGCTCACGCCAAAAACTGAAGAGAGACACCTAAAAGACGGACTCGCGGGATTGGTAAAAGAACAAAAGAAGAAAAAGGGAGGCTATCTTCTCTCGTGGACCGTAGAGGTGCAGAGGATTAAAACTCTATTCCTAGGGAAAGTAGAGGGTCTGACGCGCTCTTTCTTTTCGACGGCTACTTTGGGAGAAATTGGCAAAAGCTAGATTCACGTGGGATAAGGAGATTGGCTAGGAGCTTTCTTACGTTTTCGTTGGAATACCAATCTGCGGCGAATAAAAAGAAAACCAGATTCACATGGGATTAATAGATTAGCTTTAGTTTCTCCCTGTAGATGATTTTTACTCTCTGCTTTTGCTTTTGATAATTTTCGGTAGACCTTTTCTTTATTTTCTTCAGTACGAACACGAAACAAAAAGAAGGAAGACTTTTCGTTTGTCTCTTCATTATTTCATCTTTCTCAATTCTTTGGTAATTGAGCGGATGGAATCAATCAGACCATGCGAGATTGACATGATGAGGAGCGGCTAGGTTTCTCTTCTACCCAAAGGTCGAAGCAAAGGCGCAGTCCATAACATCTGTGAGATCTAATCGAACTTTCACTATTTCCTCCAATCTGTTACTATTCGTGCGTTTCCTGGATTAACTTTTTATGAGTATTTTATTAATTGAGTATCAACAGTCGGATATTTGATTTAATTTAATAGCCTACTGTCACGTTAACTAAATTGAATCCGTAATTGTTCGTTTAGTTGACAACTAGTGACAACCATCATAATTGGCTTTATGTTGGGAAAACGTAAGATCTAGTTTAAATAAACCCTCTTAGCGTGTTTATTAGTTAGAGTTGGGTTTTTCTAGTTTTAATGCAATTGGATAATTAAATTCCTACGATCACACTTAGGATTGTTTTCCGGTTAGAGAAGCAGGCAACGGTCGTATCTTGGCTGTCGAAAACGTAAAGAAAAACTGGCTGTCAGAACTTGTTGATAGTTATAGCCAACCTAGTGACGAATGAATGAAATATCTTTGCATCGATGATCATTTAATTGGATCGTGCCTGAAAAGTTGATCCTTTGGGTAGAATTTTATTAATTGTTATTTTTAGTAAATTGTACTTGGTGAGTTAGTTTTTTAATTTTGTTTATTTTATTTTCATTTTCATTCCATTAAATATCCCCCAATTTTGTTCTATTGACTTGGAAAGAAACAATTTCCTATCCATTCCCTGTGGAATCGACCCTACTTGCCATTGTATGCAAATTTAATACTTTTATAAACAATTCTGGTATATCGGATCAAGCAAACTCTTTGGGGAACAGGGTGAATCAAGTAACTCATTGCACACTTAGGGTCCCTGCTCCAGTACTTAGATTTGTTCTATATTTAATTGTGGTGGTAACTAGGACTTTTTAGTAATTATTATTGCACAAGTTCGGCACTTGTCAATTTTTGGCGCCGCTGCCGGGGAACGGCGTTTTGGTTAATTTTGTTTCTTTCTAAGTTGTTTTCTTTAGATTTGTCTGGCATTTTTCTAGTTTGTACCTCGTTCTTCTCGTACATGCGAATTGATTTTCGACCCGAAAGTAGAGAAGGCTACCCGCCGAACAAGGAAAGAGACTAGACAGCTCCGAGAAGAGCAATCTAGCATTACATCTCAGAGACTAGATCCTGAGGTTGAGTCAATAGATTCGAGTGGTAATAATTCAAGTGACCCAGGCCAAAAGGACATCCCTATGGCGAATGCAAGAACACTAAGGGAGTTGGCTACTCCGAAATTGATCCAGCAACTTTTGTGCATTACATTTCTAGCTCTAGCTGAGAATACTTCCTTCAAATTGAAGTCAGAGTTAATTCACCTCTTACCCTCATTCCATTGCCTCTCAGGTGAAGAACCCCATAAACACATCCAGGAATTCGATGTGGTATGTTCTAGTATGAAACCTCCAAGGATTACTGAAGAGCAGATCAAAATTAGAACATTCCCTTTCTCCCTCAAGAATGCAGCGAAGGATTGGTTATACTACCTACCTGCAGGTAGTATCACAACATGGGGCCCAACTGAAAAAGAAATTTTTGAAAAAATTCTTCATTGCATCTCGAACTGCAAGTCTGAGAAAAGAGATATGCAGCATTAAACAGTATTCTGGGGAATTTCTATATGATTATTGGAAAAGATTCAATAAGTTATGCATTAGATGCCCACAGCATCAAATTAGTGAGCAACTATTGATACAATACTTCTATGAGGGATTTCAGTTATCTGACAGAAGTATCATTGATGCTGCGAGTGGAGGAGCATTGGCGAATAAGACACCGAAGGAAGCACGGCTGCTTATTGAAGATATGGCAGAAAATTCTCAACAGTTTGGTTTCCGCGAGAGTAACCCTACCCGTAGGGTTAATGAGGTAGAGACGTCGTCCATTCAGCAGCAGCTATCGGAGCTAACATCTTTTGTTCGCCAATTAGCTGTGGGGAACGTGCATCAAGTAAAGGTCTATGAAATTTGCACAAACGTAGACCACCCCACTGACTCATGCCCTATTTTGCAAGAGGATGGGGCTGAACAAGTAAACATGGCTGGAGGTGTGCCCGCGCCTCGTAGGTAGTACGATCCATATTCGAACACGTACAATCCGGGTTGGAGAAACCACCCCAACTTCAGCTATGAGAATATGCCACAGAATTCATTCTCAAATTATCCACCAGGATTTCAGCAATCATGGCAACCAAAGCCTCAACTTTCTTCCTCCAATTCAGGAGACTCTTTGGAGGATATTGTCAAGAGCCTGACCACGAGTATTGCTCAGTTCCAGCAGGAAACTAGATCAGGCATGAAAAATCTGGAGACTCAAATAAGTTACATGACAACGGCAATTAATCGCTTAGAGTCCCAAGTTTTCGAAAAATTGCCATCGCAACTCGAGACAAACCCCAAGAATGTAAGTGCCATGACATTGAGGAGTGGCAAGGAAGTGGAGGGGCCTAAAGCCACGTACCTAAAAAGTAAAAGTGAAGAAGAAATCGAAAAGGAGATTGAAGAAGAAGGGCGCATTCGCGAAGACCCTAAGTTAAAATTTACTCCTTCAACTCCTATTAAATCTAACTTACCTCCTTTTCCTTACAGGTTGAAAAAGACAAAGAAGCAAAATAAGGAAAAAGAGATTCTAGAGATGTTTCGAAAGGTGGCAATCAATATCCCTTTGTTGGATGCGATCATGCAAGTGCCAAAATACACTCAATTCTTGAAAAACTTATGCATCAACAAGAAGAAGTTGAGGGGGGATGAACAAATTGCAGTATGTGAGAATGTTTCAGCGATTTTACAAAGGAAACTACCACCTAAATGCGGAGATCCAGGTATGTTTAATATCCTCTATAAGATTTGACGTTCTAATATCGAAAATGTCATGCTAGATTTAGAAGCTTCTATTAATGTGATGCCTAAATCATTTTATGATTCTCTAAATTTATGACCTTTAAAAGAAATAGGGATAATAATTCAATTGGCTGATCGTACATTTATTTATCTGGATGGGATAGTTGAGGATGTTTTAGTGCAAGTAGATGGATTAATTTTTTCTGTTGATTTTTATGTGCTTTACATGGATGATAGAAGTGCTCCAAATCCATCACCCATTATATTAGGAAGGCCATTCTTGAGTACTGCCCAGACTAAAATTGATGTTAGTAAGGGTACTCTCACGATGGAATTTGATAGAGAAATAGTCCACTTTAATATTTTTTATACAATGAAACATCCTGTTAACTCTCATTCTGTATTTGCTATTCATGCTACTAATCCCTCTGTGCAAGAATTTTCTGAGTTTGCTTGTAGGGGTAAATTCAAAGTTGCTGCGAACAAGTATCATGGAATGAAAGCAATTCATGAGGTGAAAATGGGTAAAAAATTAAGGAAAAATATTGCACTCAATGGCTATTTGGATCCCGAAGGAGGGCCACCGATTACAAGAAAAATTGAATTATATCCAAACTGAAGAGTGATGTATAGTATCTAGCCAAAGACATTAAAGAAAGACACTATTTGAAAAGTAATCCAAGGATTTCAATTGTGTTTTATTTCATATTTGTGTGTTCAAGATCAGTGGGTTTAGGTTCCTATTGACAAACAATCTTTATTGTAGGTCATGGGTATTTCTGTGCAGCTTTATTCTGGGTTGGGGACACAAATTCGTGGGCAGAAGATTTCATGTTACAAAGCGTGCCCGCACCTTGTATTCACATCGCATGGATATTTGTAAAACTTGGTGATCAGAAGACCTCGCCCTCCAAGGCGTGCCCACGCTACACAGTTAATGTGATTTGCACCAATTAAATTTTGAAAAGTGATAGAACAATTATTAGGCACCTTTTACGCTGTTATTCTGTCATAATTTTGGCTACCTACTGTGCTAAGTATTGAGGTTTTGCTCATATTTGATATTTGTGTAAATTGTAGGTGGTTGGTGTCAAAAGTGATCTCTCGAAGCAAATTTCCAGAAGACACTTTATTTCATGGCATTCCCACGCCAGAAACTAAAAAGAGACACCTAAAAGAGGGACCCGCGGGATTGGTAAAAGAACAAAAGAAGAAAAGGGGCGGTTATCTTCTCTCGTGGACCGCAGAGGTGCAGAGGATTAAAACTCTATTCCTAGGAAAAGTAGAGGGTCTGACGCGCTTTTTCTTTTCAGCGGCTACTTTGGGAGAAATTGGCAAAAGCCAGATTCACGTGGGATAAGAAAATTGGCTAGGAGCTTTTTTACGTTTTCATTGGGATAGCAATCTGCGGCGAATAAAAAGAAAGCCAGATTCACGTGGGATCAATAGATTAGCTTTAGTTTCTCCCTGTAGACGATTTTTACTCTCTGCTTTTGCTTTTGACAATTTTCGGTAGACCTTTTCTTTACTTTCTTCAGTATAAACACGAAACAAAAAGAAGGAAGACTTTTCATTTGTCTCTTCATTATTTCATCTTTCTCAATTCTTCGGTAATTGCGCGGATGGAATTAATCAGACCACATGAGATTGACATGATAAGGAGCAGCTAGATTTCTTCTCTATCCAAAAGTCGACGCGAAGGCGCGGTTCATAACATCTGTGAGATCTAATCAAACTTTCACTATTTTCTCCAATCTATTACTATTCGTACGTTTCCCGAGTTAACAATTTATGGGTATTTTATTAATTGAGTATCAACGGCCGGATATTTGATTTAATCTAATAGCTTACTGTCACGTTAACTAAATTGAATTCTTAATTGTTCGTTTAGTTGACAACTAGTGACAACCATCATAATTGGCTTTATGTTGGGAAAACGTAAGATCTAGTTTAAATAAACCCTCTTAGCGTGTTTATTAGTTAGGGTTGGGTTTTTCCAGTTTTAATGCAACTGGATAATTAAATTCCTAAGGTCGCACTTAGGGTTATTTTCCGGTTAGAGAAGCAGGCAACGGTCGTATCTTGGCTGTCGAAAACGTAAGGAAAAACTGGCTGTCAGAACTTGTTGATAATTATAACCAACCTAGTGACGAATGAATGAAATATCTTTGCATCGATAATCATTTAATTGGATCGTGCCTGAAAAGTTGATCCTTTGGGTAGAATTTTATTAATTGTTATTTTTAGTAAATTGTACTTGGTGAGTTAGTTTTTTAATTTTGTTTATTTTATTTTCATTTTCATTCCATTAAATATCCCCCAATTTTGTTCTATTGACTTGGAAAGAGACAATTTCCTATCCATTCCCTGTGGAATCGACTCTACTTGTCATTGTATGCAAATTTAATATTTTTATTAACAATTCTGGTATATCGGATCAAGCAAACTCTTCGGAAATAGGGTGAATCAAGTAACCCATTGCACACCTAGAGTTCCTGATCCAGTACTTAGATTTGTTCTATAATTAATTGTGGTGGTAATTAGGACTTTTAGTTATTATTATTGCACAGGTTCGGCACCTGTCAAAAAGAAATCTCGTCCCTGCCGATACTTCTTATGTTTAGATTTGCATCCATATAAAAGCATCCAAATGTGATAAGTTTTATAGGTTAAAATAGAAAATTTTTTGGCTAAATCCCATAACTAGCTTTTATTAGGTTGAAAAGGTGTTTTAGATCAAATCTTTGCCTTCTCTTTCTTCAAACGTGACTCCCGAATTTTTTTCTCTGATTTTCAAAGATTTGGAATCGTCTAAAAAGGGTTTTAGTTATTTTTTAATTTAAAATATATTTTTAGGTGACTTGATACACCTAAACTCGATATCAAGTGGCGACTTCTATTTTTCTTAAAAAATCCTTTTTTGGATTAAATTTTGGGGCTAAACCGTCACACTTTACATGTCCCATTTTAGGCCATTTTTCTTTTCTTTATTTTCTAAAAATAAAAAAATCATCTTTTTAAAAACACCATTTTCTAAACGCCGTTTCCAAGCTTTACTTTATTTCCAAAAAAAATAGGGCACGACACAAATTGCCCAAAATTCTAGCTAGCTACGTTCTGATTCTTTCCTGCATGTTGCACGCGCGTGTGAGGAGTTGATGATGATTTTTTTTTTTATATAGAAAAGAGTTGGGCCAACGGGTCTCTTCCTATTTCTTCTCTTCCAGGCTTTGGCTTGGTTTCGAGTGGGCTTTTTGTTGTGTTTTTGCATGGATTTTTGTTTGGGTTTCATTTGGATTTTAGGTGGGTTTTTACTTGGGCTTTTATTGAGTTAAAATCAAATGAAAAACTTTTACTATTTTTTTCTTCTATTTGAACATCCATTTTTTGTCTTTTTTTTTTCTTTTCTTTTGCACAAACCTACAAAACAAAATTTAAAATAATTACTTAAACAATTTATAAGTAAAAAATAAAATAGAAATAAAGATAAAGATAATAAACTTGAAATTAAGAAAATTTGGTAACTATAGATTGCACCATCAAAATTAGCTTTGAAAAAGTCGTGCATGGATTTATGCAATGAAGTTACCGATGAGTAGGATGTTACAAACTGTTTAGGAGGATCACCTGCTGGATTTTTGAAGTCTTGCAAATAATTAACAGCAAAAGAAATGATGCTGAGAGGGCCACTGTAAGCACCTTCAAAAAGCAATTTGTTTCTATTGTTCCAAAGACGCCACATAATAACAGTAGCTAATTCCATATCCTAATCCCATAGAATTGCAAGGATATTATGAATCTTGGGATGACATTGGTTACAGCATCTAATTGTAATTTTCTGGTGAGAAAGCCAAGGGTCAAACACTGTACAGCTATTGGACACCTCAGGAATAATTGGTAAAGATGACCTTCTGAAATTGAGTACAGGGGACAAAATGAGTCTAAGGATACACCACGGCTGGAGAGGTTAGCTGCTATAGGGAAAATATTTTTATACACTCTCCAAAGGAAAACTTAATCTTGTTTCGTATGTGAAGATTCCAGAGATGCTTCCATGATTTCGACCCAGCACCATTACTCCCTGTGGCTAAATGGTCATATGTGAACACTCCAGAGATACTTCCAAGATTTCAACCTAACACCATTACTTCTCGTGGCTAAATTCAATTAATCCAAAGATTGTCGTCTGACAAAATAAAAAGCACTTTTATTGATAAAATGCTATTCTTGGTATAAGTGCCAAATCAACTTGTTTCATTACATGGATCTCCAATCGGATACTTCTGATAAGATCAATTCAAAATAATTGCTGCAACAAGGAATGATCGCAAACTCTCGGGTCTGACCTGGATAAGACTTTGAATGTACAAGGGCGAGGTAACCGATGTGCAAACCAAATTTTGATGGATTTCTATTCCCTACTCACCATCTACTACCAGCTTCAACTAATTATGCAAGTCATGTTCTACCATTGCCACCTTATTTGGGATAAATTAATTAAAGTACACACCATATACTAGTGGATAATGTTTTTTGGAAGGATAAAATTGACATTGACATGCACAAGTTTAATTTTGCAGATATATCTTAGGAGGGAAGGGGGAAGGGTTAGCCAAATCTAATTTCCATTGTTATTATTGCAGTATTGTATTTCAAAAACTTTCTACCTAGATGGTCCATTTGAATTAGATGATTTTGGGATGTAATGTCAGGTATTTTTAAAATTTTAAATTTTATTGGGTGTTTTTAAAAAATTTATTAAACATTACCTACCACAACTACCAACCATCCCTCCATTCTCCCTCCTCCATCGTTGCTACCCCTATCCCATCCTCCTATACTGTTGCCGCCATCCCTTCATCTCTCCTCTCTCTCCTTCCTTCCCTTTCTTCCCAGCCTCTTCCCTCCCTACCTCTTCCCTACAACCCCTCTCTCCCCTTTCTCGATCTTTGGTCGCGACCTCTGATCAGATCTAGTTGCAACCCATGACTAGATCGGGAAAGGAGGAAGGAGGTTGCAGGGAAGGAGTAGGGGAGGAAGAGGGAAGAGAAAGAGAGAGAAAGAAAAGGGAGGAGAGAGGAGAAGGGGAGGAGGGGGTGGCGATAATGGAAGAGGGAGGAGGGGAGGGGATGGCGATAATGTGTGGTGGGTGGTGTGTGGAAGAAGAAAGAGGGTTTAGGTTTATTTCATTTATTTATTTATTTGTTAGGTGTATTTGAAGTATTTTTGAATGTTTTTAGAGTGTGTTATTGTAAACTCCAAAAACAAAAACTTGTTTGTGAAAAACTTATCAATCTAAGCAAACCAGTGTTTTCTATCTATAAAATTAATCAAAACAGAATCAGTTGCCAAACCTATTTTGAACCTCTTTTATAAATAGCAAACATTCATTAAGGGACATTTTCAAAAGAAAAACATCAGTAAGGCCTCACATTACTAGAAATCAAAAAATTGGTCACATTGTTGAAGCATGTATGGTGAAATCTCCGTTAGTAAGTGTATTTCTTTTTGTTTCCCACTAAAATCCGAAGTACAAGGGGCATAAGTGAATATTTTTTAACCATAAGTTGTGTTTTTTAAAAAATTACTTAACCACAGGGAAAGCATGTAAAATTTACCCTATAGATTAAGTGTTTAAATATAAAAAAAGGATGCGAGGATATTACTTCCCTCATCGATATACTAAACTTCTTCTCAATTGCCCTTGTTCTTCTCTGATTTCATTTCTACAAAACATGGTTATTATTAAGCTCAACATGGCGGATAATATGCCATTAATCCAATTATTCGAGAATCTCGTAACCAGACCTTGACAAATTGGCAATAGACCACCAACCAGTGCTTTAACATGACTGTATATCAACCAGTCAAGACCGTTCGGGAGCTGGTTAAGCTGCGATATACTGAATAGTGACTTTAAAATTGGAGAGGATTTTCTCTCCATTACACCTAAATAATTGTAATTCTAATATTATTTTTTGAAGTCAAAATCATCTATCATATATTTCTCCACTTATTTAAAATATATACAACATTTGAAATTAAATTGTTTAAAATTTACCATTAGATCAAACTCTAAAACTTTTATCATAAATTGGATCCATTTTATACCATCCAAATGCTTTGTGCAAATTTAATAACAGAACATTGATGGATGACTTTGATTTTTAAACACGTTGATCTACTTGTGGAAGTAAAACTATTGACATAAACATATTACTCTATAAAAATTTATTTGTGTAGATATAAAATAATAGATAGATAAATGGAGAGAAATATAATGGAGAATTTTTTAAGCCTTAGTATTAATTTTGTGTACATAGTAAACTCAACAATAGGCAAGCTATTTCCAAGTTGAGATCCTTTTCATTACTTTTCTCTCCATTTATCTATCAATATTTTATATCTACATAAAATACTACTACTTTCTACCAAATTTAAAATTATTAGTTCCCTGAAATTTATCATAAAATCTTAATTTGTCTCTCTATTTGGAGATATCGTCACCTTTCCAAATTTATAAATAGTTAAGCATCATTAGTGCTCGGGATCGAACTCCTAAAACAAGATGGGCTCGAAATCTGAGCTCTAAATGATTCATTTTATTGTGGATTCAAAAGCTAGAACTTGGGAGTTCTTATCCTTATGATTCATTGAAATTCCGTCCAATAAAACAAAATAATTATAAATCTCCAAAATAATAGATAGAAATACCGCAAATAGAGCCATTGTGACACCCATCAAAGGGTTTGTTTCCCACCCCGAAGATACTTTACCATGATCAAAATTTTCAAGCGAGGAGATTTCAAGTTGATGACGGCATTAAACTCGTGAATACTCAAGTCACTTTGTGCATAGGTGTGGTTATCTTAGAATCAATTGCCTCCATAATAATCAGTACTTTATAGAATGAAAAATCGAAATTGCATAAAATGTGACAAACAGTACTGGACGCATAAAGGCATTTGTTTTGATATATGTTTCTTAGGGTTTATTAAACATTCTTGGATCAAGTTTGTCTCAACTTTTGTTGGTTTTTACAATAATGTTTTTTGAATTCAACATTTTTTTGATATTCTCACAAAACTAGCCAGAAATAAGTGTTTCTTTCTTTGGATATGCTTAACATTTAAGAAGGCATGGCAATACTTTCTGAAGCAAAACATCATTCATACGTCAATTGATTGAAAGATCCGCATGAAGAACGGATAATACAAATAGGGGCGGGGAATCCCACAAAACTTCATCTGGAATTATAATAGCATACCATGCTAGTTCATAAGCTACAGTTTTATATTTTCTAGAAACCCATGAATTGTGATGAGAGATTGCACCATCAAAATTAGTTTTGAAAAAGCCGTGCATGGAGATAGAGCATGAAGTTACTGATGAGTTGGAAGTTACAAACTGCTTAGGAAGTTTAACTGCTGCATTCCTGAAGTCTTGCAAATAGTTAACAAGCAATGATGCTAAGAGGATCACTAGAAGCACCTTTAAAGAGCAATCAATCTGTTTCTATTGTTCTAAAGACACCACATAATCATGGTTCAAAGTCGCTGTCGCGGTCGTGATTCGGAACGTTCCACATCGGTTTCGGCATATCAGTCGTGGTCTCGATGAGATGCAAATTTTAAAGCATTTAATATTCTAAAAATTGTTAATAATATAAAAAAAGTATGCTAAACAAAAATAATAAAAAAATAGCAAAAGAAAATTTGTAAAATGTACTATTTTTATACATATTAAACACAATAAGTACTTTTAATTATTTAAGACAATGACATCACAAATAAAATCAAAATAACATAGACCACAATTTTAATACTAATAATTACAAAAGTAATATCAACCATTAACAATACAAACTAAAGATTTATTTATAGCATAAAGTTGGAATATTTTGATCAATCTCCTGCCAAAAATAAAAAGAAATCATATTAAATAAAAAACAAATATGTAAAAAGATATACTAGTACTTTATATTTTCATACCGTTAATACCAAGTAGAATGACGATGTGGTTCAAAATCACCCTCATTTCTCGATGAATGGTAAAATAGATGTGGAAGTGGGATAGGACCTTGAGTAGGTAGTGTATAAGAGTTATCTGGTTTATTTACTGGATGTGAGGATTGACTAGATGTTCCATAATCATTAGATGGAAGAACTTCTGGATTGGAGATGAATTGCTGAGTATGATGGTAGTATCCAAACCCTTGATAGTTAACACTATCGCTAGTACCATATGATGCAGTAGAATCATGACCATAAAACCCAATGTTATTGGAATCAAAAGAAGAACCATCATGAGATTTATCTATTTCTTTTTCATAGTATCCACTACCATGAATGCTAGTAGACCTTTCGACCTGTCCAGATCCATCAAATGGCCGATATCCACTATAATAGTCAGGAGTGGTTCCATATGATTGGTCATAGCCATATCCCAATTGACTAGTACTGTAGTTTTGACTAAATTCATGCTCATAGGTTGGGTGTATACCCAAATTTTGCATCTGATCATTGACTCCTTTCTATCTTTGTGACCCTGAATGGTGAGAGAAAGTATTCTCACTTGAAAATTGAGTTAAATTATTGAGGAATTGACGTTCTACTTCTATACCAGGACAATAGCCATGATCAGCATCTTGAGTGGCATAATAATTATCTTGTTCTTGAGCCCATGACATACCTCCTGTTTGTTGGCTATCTTGATTGTAACCACCACTATGCTTGAAAGAATTGTTCCCTCCATCTCCATTGTCACCATTGTCATCATCATCATTACTGCTGTCACTTTTATTTGAAGATGATGGAACAGTATGCTTACTGGTTTGTTTAGTCTTACTTTTTTGTTTCCTACTTGAGGATTCAGCAAGACCTTTCTTCTTTTTTTTTGGTAATATATTGGGACAATGTATCACCAAAACCATCATTGTCATGTTCTTGATATTCACTACTTTCTAATTTAGTTTGATGAATGCCGTTATCCAACCAATCCCGATTATCTTCAGGCAATGTGGGTTGTTCATTTTCTCTTATCCAATCATCCAATATATCATCTTGGTGAAAAATGTGATTCAAGTCAATTGGGTTGTAGAAATTATTAGTATCTCTTTGATGCATCAAATTTTTCACCTTTAATCGCATATTGTAATACACAAAATCTAATTTATGCAATTTTTTAACTGCCAAACCGTTATGTAGTTTTGTATGAATTAATGACCATGTACTCCAATTTCGCTCGCAACCAGAAGATGTGCAGGTTTGACTCAATATTTTCACTGCAATATTCCTTAAATTTGGCGCATCTTCACCATAGTTAAGCCATCATTCAGCTAAACAAACAAAGTAATAATAATAATAATTTATTATTATTGTTTTAAAATTATAAAAATATTAACTTCATTAATATGATTTAGATGTTTATATAAGTATGAATTAAGTTGAAACCTGGTAAAGATTTTGGTAACGCTCTTGCTGCAATAGTACTTCCAAATCCTCATTTTTTGTCTACAAAAATTTTGATCTACAAAAATAATATATACAAAGGTGTTAAAATTTTAAAATTTGTTCATTAATATAAATAAATAAAATAATCAAAAGAATACCTCATTTATTGAATCAACTTGTGTATCTAAATTTGGCTCCAACTTTGCAATGACTTTCTTGAACCCTTTTCGAACTTCATCCAGATTAAACTCACAAGTTCCAGAATATTGAAGGATCAGGTTCAAAAAATATGCTAAATACAATAAAATAACAAAATTAGAAAATAAATAAATACATATATATTACATATTTAAATTGGGTGTAATATTTTAAATTACCCGTCGCATGTAAATCACGATAAAGTTGATTGTACCATCTATTATCAATCACTTCCCAAATTGTTTTCCAAGATTTCACTGACTTTTGAATAGCCATTTTTGCTCTATCCATTGCCTCATAAATAATTGGCAATGTTGGCTTATTATCTTGATCAATAGTTTTTAAAACTTTGACCAAAGGCTCCATTATTGCACATATATTTCTAACTTTTTTCCAAAACTTCTCTGACAATATCAACTCAAGTACTTTAATAGCTTCTGCTTTTCTCTTGGTAGTATTATTGAACTCTGCCCATTCATCTGAGGTGCACATTTTTTTCAGTTCTGTAGAATGCCGAAGAAGACTTTCCATAGAAATGAATTCAGTTGCAAATCTAGTGATACCTGGATGCAGTAGTTCCCTTTTTCTTGTATATGTCTTCATCAGATTCATTACTTTGTCGCTGTTATATATGAAACTTGTTATCTTCTTCCCCTAAGCAATAGTTTCTTTTACATTATCTATTTTGCCAATATCCTTCAACATCAAATCTATACAATGAGCAGCGCAAGGTGACCAGAATAGATTTTGTCTTTTTTTCATCAACAGTTGTCCAGCTGCTTTCATACTAGATTCACTATCTGTCACAACTTGCACAACATTTTTTTCTCCCACAGCCTCTACTACCTCATCCATTAACTTGAAAATATATTGAGCAATTTTCTTGACATTGGTACAATCAACTGAACTATGGTATATCATGTGTCTATCACAGTATACCATAAAATTTATTATTGGATGTTTTGTACGGGTGCTCCACCCATCACACATGAGTGTACAACCAAAAGTTGAAAATTTATCATAAATATCTCCAAGATATTTCTCAAGCTCTTCAAATTCTTCGTCTAAATATTCATTTCCAATTTGATAAGCTGAAGGGCCTTTAATACCAGAACCAACTTTGGCAATTTCATCAATCATTGATTGATAATAAGGATTGTCTGCTGCATGAAATGGTATAGCATTGAAATGAAAAAACTTTGAAATTGCCTTACCAACTCTTTTTATATTTTTCGCCGCAAACATTGATTTGACTGATTTTTGTTTAGAAGGAAACATATGTGAGTCAATTCCTTTGCTTGTCATTTCATCCGCTTGTCTGACACTGAAATTACGTGACAATACTCTTTTATTTTCAGAAGTCATTGGTTTTGAAGTGCCAGCACCCAAATTCCCTACAATTCACAATGTTTAACAAATAAAAAATGAATGAATAAATTACAACTTTATTTAATTATATTTAATAAAATGATATCAAATTTGTTATAATATTTTAGTTTACAAATGATACCTGACATAAACATAAAAGGTCGACTCCCAGATACTGAATGCCTTTGTTGTTCGTCTAAAAATTGCAAGTATTGGCTCTCTCTAATTGCTTGCTTCATCTGTTTTTTTTTTCCAATGTCATCCTACTTTCTTCATCAATTTCAAAAATGTCTTCGTCCTCCTCGTCGCCAACTATGTTGAAATTACTATACATATTTTCTTGTTGGAGAGAGTTCAACATTTCTTCTTTTTTCTGTTTTATTGTAGCTCTTTGAATCTTACCAGCCTTTAGATGCATTTTCATTACATCTGTAACTTCTCTTGCGACCCTTGGACAAGGTACAACTTGTCCCGTGACATGACCGACATGTGCTTTCAACCTTGTAATGCCACCATGCATTACTTTTCCACAATAATTGCATCTCACAATTTTTCTATTTCCACCCACAGGTTTACCATGTTCCCAACCAATATCCTTGCTCGTCATTGTAACTATTACACGTATCAATATAAATGATTAATTCATAACAAAATAATTAAAGATATATGAAAAAAATACAACAAGTAGTTTCTGACATTTTACAATAGTAATAATTTATTTCTATTATATTAGTAAGTTAAACATCTAATCTATAATGTAAACCTGCAACAATGATCATTTTTTCATTTATTAAAAGAACTTCAAAATTTTAAATATTTATTAAAATTATTACTGCATTTTAGAAAATTTTATATTAAAAGATCTAACAGTTATTTTAATATTTTCATTAAATATCAAATGAATTTGAACTAATTTATTATGTACTTTGAATTATATGTGAGATAAGTGTTAAACTTATGTTTGGCCCAAAATAAACTCTTGACTACACAAATTAGCTAGATAAATCTAAATTTCTAAATTTTATTTTGGACACAATCATAATTAATCCAACCTTGGCCTATTACATAAGGGCTATAATTAATCCAAATATGTTTCTAATTCATACTTACTAATAAGTATAGAAAACTTAAAGAAATAAATTCAAACCTGCTGACCCACAGGAAAAGTCCTTATTTCAAAGGAAAGACCAAGGGAGGGCAATGAAAGGGCCGTTGCTGCAACTAAGGTTGATGACTGGCTATTTCCGAAAGGAAAGAGAAGCTTGATCGGAGTTGATTTCTCCTATTTTAGGTACTATCTCGCTTCCCTAAGAACGTCCAAATAAGAACAGAGATGAGAGAAAGCATAAAAATTTTAAATCTATGGACTCTTGCACCGTTACATAAAATGACTAGTCTAGTCTTTTATTTAAAGACTTTCATACGCAAGTGCCAAAGCTCCAGAAAGTTGCAAGAGAAAGCCAAGCAAAACCGATATAAGAAGGGCAGTCGCATTATGGACATCCCATTTGAAGGACAAAACTCCAGGCGGATCCCACCATGGCATAAGAGTTCGTAAGAGAGTACTATGACTGGGGTGGTCTTCCAGTTCACTTTTGGGCATTTCTCCTCTCACTTATTCTATCACCTTGGATGCCTGCCGGTTTGAAAGAAAAGTAAAGTGATAACTTTGGAAAAGAAAGTTGGAAGTGATAGCCTTTGAAAGAAAAGAAAAGTAAAGTGAAGGTACATATACTTGAACCAAGTTGGAATAATATAAACGCATCTTTTCACATGATCAGTACTTTGGCAAATTTGTTTCTATTTCCCAATGAATGATTTCGATATTGACTTCTCCTTTTCGTGTGTTGGGATCTAGCTGTAGTTTTTACTCCAAGGGTCGATGTAATTGAGCTGCGGTCCTAGTGCTTCTCCCAATTATGTCTGGTGTTTCGAATGAGCTTGTCCCAATTATGTCTGGTAATAGAATAGGGAACTACTATGATTGATCTAAAGAAGGCCCCACAAAGTCTTTTATGACGTGCCCATCACTCGCATCTCTTTCCCTGTATGAAGGAGCATCAGTACTAGCATACTTGATAGGAGATTGACACAGGCGATAGAGAGGTCCCCGGATTTCCCTTTTTTAATCCTTTTTTTTTCTTTTTCTCTAAAGGTTTTTTGTTGAATTCAACTTGACTCGGAATAACTTGGAGTGACTCGGCCGTTTCAACCCGTCTCGGTGACGTCTCGGCCGATTTCTCGGCGAGTCAAGTATCTCGGTATCGTTTCGTCACGGTATCATATCGGACTGGGCCAAGACGGTGACGACTCGGCTGAGTCTTCGAACCATGCACATAATAGCAGCAACTAATTCCATATCCTGATCCTGTAGAATTGCAAGGATGTTATGAATCCATATACACTGGTTGCAACATCTAATTGTAATTTTCTAGTGAGAAAGCCAAGGCCCAACACTGTATAGCTTCTGGACACCTCAGGATGGTAAACATCACCTTCTGAAGCTGAGCACGGGGGACAAGTTGAGTCTGAGAATACACCACGGCTGGAGAGACTAGCTGCTATAGTGAGAAGTGAGAATATTTTTACACTCTCCAAAGAAAAAAATTTAATCTTGTTTCGTATGTGAAAACACCAGAGATGCTTCCATGATTTCGACCCAGCACCATTGCACCCCGTAGCTAAATGCGATGCGATTGATCTAAAGATTGTTGTCTAACAAGATGATAAGCACTTTATATTGAGAGAATGCTATTCTTAGTATAAGCGCCAAATCAACTTGTCTTCATTACGTGGATCTCCAATCGGATACTTCTGTTAAGATCAATTCAAAATAATTGCTGCAATAAGGAATGATCCCAAGCTCTTGGGTCCTTGTCAATTAAGGAGTCCACCGTTGAATCGCTGGAATCCTGTTTGACTTGGATATGACTTTGAATGTATAAGGGCGAGGTAACCAATGAGCAAACCAAATTTTGATGGATTTCCATTCCCTATTCACCATCTACTACCAGCTTCAACTAATTATGCAAGTCATGTTGTACCAGAAATTGCCACCCTACCTATTTGGATTAAATTAATTATGCAAATAGAGTACTCACCATATACTTGTGGATAATGTTTTTAGAAGGATAAAACTGAAATTGACATGTATATGTTTAATTTTGCAGATATATGTTAGGAGGGGAGGGGGAAGGATTAGCCAAATCTAATTCCCATTGTTATTACTAATTTCAAAACGATCCGTATGAATTAGGTGTTTTTCAAAAACTTATTTACTGTAGTATTGTATTTCAAAAAATTTCTACTTTAAATAGTCCATTTGGATTAGGTGAAATTTAAAATTTTATTGCAATATTTTTAAAAATTTTGTTAAACATTACCTACCAGAACTACCAATCATCCATCCCCTCCTCCATCGTCACCACCCCTCTTCCATCCTTCTCTAACACCTCCATCCCCTCATCTCTCTTCTCTCTCCTTCCTCCCTCCTATTCCTCCCTTTTCTTTCCAGTCTCTCCCCTTCCTATCCTTTCCCTGCAACCCCTCTTTCCCTTTTCTCGATCTTTGATCACGGCCTTTGACCAGATCTAGTTGCAACCCATGACTAGATCGGAAAAAGAGGGAGGAGGTTGCAGGGAAAGAGAAGGGGAGGGAAGGAGAGGAAAAGGGAAGAGAGGGAGGGAGAAAGAAGAGGGAGGAAAGAGGAAGAAGGGAATAGGGGGTGGCAGCAGTGGAAGAGGGAGGAGGGGAGGGGGATGGCGATGATGTGTGGTGGGTGGTATGTGGTGTGTGGAAGAAGAAAGAGTGGTTAAGTTTGTTTTATTTATTTGTTTGGTGTATTCGAAATGTTTTTTAGAGTGTTTTTAAAGTGTGTTATTGTAGATTTCAAAAACAAAAACTTGTTTGTGACTTATCAATCTAAGCAAGCCAATGTTTTCTATCTATAAAATTGATCAAAACAGAATCGATTGCCAAACCTATTTTGAACCTCTTTTATAAATAGCAAACATTCATTTGGGGACATTTTCAAAAGAAAAAAGTCACTAAGGCCTCACAGTACTAGAAATCAAATAATTGGTCACAGTGTTGAAGCATGTATGGTGAAATCTCCGTTAGTACAGTGTATTTCTTTTTGTTTTCCACTAAAATCCAAAGTACAAGGGGCATAAGTGAATATTTTTGAACCATAAATAGTGTTTCTTAAAAATTACTCAACCACAGGGAAAGCATGTAAACTTTACCCTATAGATTGTGTAAATATCAAAAAAGGATGCGAGGATATCACTTCCCTCATCCATATACTAAAATTCTTCTCAATTGCGCTTGTTCTTCTCGATTTCATTTCTACAAAACATGGTTCTTTTTAAGCTCAATATGGCGGATAATATGCCATTAATCCAATTATTCGAGAATCTCGTAACCAGACCTTGACAAATTGGCAACAGACCACCAATTGGTGCTTTAACATGACCGTTTATCAATCAGTCAAGACCGTTCGGGAGCTGGTTAAGCCGCGATATGCTGAATGGTGAGAGGTGACTGAAACAATGCAGGGTTGTCAAGAGCATCCATGGCAGTTTCGTGGAGAAATCGGGCGCAACAAATTTGATGTAGTCTTCTATCTCTAGCGATGATCTAGAAATAGTAATGCCTTCTTGAAGAGTATGGTCAGAAATAAAGAATAATGGTGGAAGTGGCTCTGGTTCAGAAGTAGGCTTTTGACAATTACCATCGGATTATACTAGGGTTCAAATTCTGAGGAAGGCCTCAAGATATTAAGATTCTGATAAAAAAAAAAATAATGGGACAACGGGTTATTTCACACTAATACAAAATAAAGAAAACGATGTTCTTACCAGTTGAGCAAAAAAATCTCAACTGATATTTCATTCGAGTTTGAACTTTTTGGTCATCAAAGTGAACAACAAGCAATGGATATAATCCTGCAAGTTTAACATTACCCTACTTTGTTTTCCAGTAATCTAACAATGTGATACCTCAGGAAGCTAAAATCACTTTCAGCAAGTCTTCATGACATGACTCTTGGAAATTTTTAGCAAAAGCATTACATACACAACCAGTACAATCGCAACCTGACAGCCGTAGCACCATCATGGTGGCGCTTCTCCTAAAATGCTTTGGTTGTTTATTGCATTTGACTACGATCTCCAACTTTTTATTCCTGGAATCTGCAATAAAAGATTTGACAAACCGTTAGCATGCTATCCACCGAAGCAAGAAAATGTCCACAAAGAAAAGATGCATGCTACTTCGTCTATTTGCTGGTATCACTAATGTAGGTTTGTTTCCAAGTTTTCTCTATCCTTCTGACACGTGATCATGTTGGCATGTCATTCACCGGATAAAATGAGCCGTAATAAGTGATATAATATATAACAAAAGAATGAATGAGCTGCTTTGCTTGCTATTTGTCCATGCCTTCTTTGAGCACATCACAAATCTTTTTGGACAATAACAGGAAATAAGGATGTACTCTTGCAAGTAAAAATGACATTAACAAAGAAACACTTAACATGCTTCAGTTTGTAAATTCTATGCTAACTCCTAATGAATCATCTCCATAAGAATACCAACCTCAATTCCTCGAGGACCTATCCGATTCCGAGAAACAAAATTAAGTATAAAATCAGCAAATTCATCAGGTACATCTTCCTGCAGCATTCAAAGTACTAATATCCATGATTATCTAGAATTAAATTGAAAGATAATGAAAAGATTCCCAGAAATAGTTAGCATACCTGTATAGCATGGCCTGTATGTCTAACTACCACCATCTGAAACTTGCCTTGCATTTGGCCTATTGTGAGAGCTCTGACATGAGACACGAAACGTATCAGCTCACTGAACAAGTTTATGTTTTTGATTTACCATTAGACAGTTCGGATTACAGTCTACAGCTATGAAAGGCATAGTTGGAGTATATTTCATACTCTGCAGGAATGGAGAATTTAAGACACTGCAACCTGGCACCCAAGCTTAAGGAGGTCATAGTCCATATGCATATAAAGTTTCTTGTGCAATGTACTTTGTTCTATTTAATACATCTCTTTTGATCTCAATTAAAGTGAAGACTAATTATCCTAGCACGCAATGTCCAATTTTCCTCAATTAAGAAGAAAAGAAGTGAATAGAGACTCTTCAAATAAAGCTGAATTTTACTAAAATTGACAGTTTGCACACTGAATGCTGAATGAGCAAGCAAGACAAGGTTGGTTGTTGCACTGTTGGATAAGAAAAGTGCCAATATTCTTGGTCACAGTTAACAGCATTCAGGAATGGGTAAACTGGCAAGCAATATTTGGTAAATCTTATGTGGTCCACGAAAAAATTCAACTTATCAAAAATTTAGTTGACATTCGGGCGCACAAGGCCATCCTATATTGAACTGGAAACCAGTTGCCTTTTCTTCTTGCTACAGTCCAGAATCAAAGAGAGAGATGGAATATTAAATAATAGCAAGAAGACAGGGAAGTCAACAAGCAGAGAGCTAGTTGACACAAAACAACCATAGATTCTTAGAAACCTACATTTTGGAGAATGATATTCTGAATTTGGGCAGTAGAACGTAACAATGCAACTCTAAAGAGCTGTTTGGAAGTAACCCAAGTAAAAACATCATGCACAGCTCTAAATCTTGTAAATGTTGTTGACTTAAACAGAAAAAACCTGTCCAGCCTATCTGTCCCAGCCAGAAGCAAGAGTTTTGGTACAGGGCTTGATAAAAATTTTTCTGAAAGGCCTTCATACCTGAAACATAAGGACGATACAGTTTGTCGTTCATATAGCCTTTCTATTCGATACTAAGACAAAAATAAATAGATAAACAAAGTATTAAGAGAGAGAGAGAGAGAGAGCTGTGAAAAAATATACAGGAAATTAAAAATTGCAAAAACCAAGATCCTTACATCACATTTTTGGTTCTGAAATGAAATTAAACATAGCATAGGGGCTGCAGGCTTAGGATTTCCATAGTGATCTTATTCTTTATACAAGAACGTGAAGGTCATGCATCTAGAATTACTGATCTAGAATAATAGAATGTGGTACCTATATGTTCTATTAGCCCATTGTTATGAGGCTACAAACAATCTGCAAATAAGCCGCTCTAGCATTAAAATTTGAAGCCATCATGTACACTAGCACTGGCAATCTGGTGATATAGAAAATCACACAATGAGCCATAAAAAGAACTCTTTAAATATTTCCTTATGGAATAACAATAATTTAATTGCAAAAAGATGCATGAAATAACTAACCTAAGCATGACCTTAACATGATAGCTGACTTCAAAATCTAAGATCAGGGAAAAAGGAAAAGCAGAAATGTAAGAGTATGATGGCATAAATCAACAGAAGAAATAGCCCTAACAATGTGGAAGAGCAGTCGCAAAATGATGCTCATAGAGGATGATATGTGATTCACACAGCATACAAATATCACCAAGCAGCAAACTATTAAGAGAAAGAAAAGTATGTAATATGTAACTAAAAATTGCTTTCACACACTAAAAAAAAGAGGAGAAAAAGAAAAAAGAGAAAAAAAAAAAGATATCAGTTAGTTCCTAGTGTCACTTTCTGTAATTGAATGACTTTCTTCTCACACATAGCCCCCTTAAATCCTCTAAGCAATAACGTACCAGCCTCTCCAATGTTGTTCTGTTTCCTCCAGTTTCGCTGTGTAGGTATAACTGCACCACAACAGATGTTCAAAAGATTTTAAGCGAAACAACAAAAAGCAACATAGAGTAGTACACAACACATTCATTTCAGTAGACAAATGCCTATTCTAGTTGTCAACGAATAGGCAAATCAAATGGAAAACAAGTGGGAAAACCCTAACCATGACAAGCACACTTACCATCTCTTTGAATCATCGTAAATTAGAGTACTAGGAATTGATACTCGTGCTGACTCTATATTTCTTAAAGAGCCTCCTTTGACACTCCATTCAATCTATCAAGAAGTTCAAACTTCTAGTGATTACAACAACCAAACTATAAAAGTCACAAGTTGATATACAAGATAATCATCTGAACCAAACCAAAATGCTGTACTGGAGATGCAGGCAGTTAACAAATTTAACCATTTAAGGACAACATAAGCAACATGATTCTATCAAATAAAATTGTACAGACAAATTAGAAGCACACACTTGATGCTAAGAGCTTTCATTACGAAGTTGAAAATGGTGGTGAAACAAGACCATCAAGTATATGTCAATCAAAGTAAGGAGAATATTGTGACCCAGCACCTGAAATTAGTTTAGATAAACCATATGCATATGGAAAAAACAGACCATCTGTCATCAAACAATGGTGGACATTACATGATTTAGCTCCTCATACCATATACTCACAACAAGCAATCAAAACTCTCTCTTTAACAAAAGAGCAAATAGTGGAAAAACAAGCAGCAAACAAGAATTCGCACTGATATTCAACTTTAAAGACCCAATATGCAAAGAGAAATTTTGCAAAACCCAGATGGCCGCACTTAAAGTATTCATTGCCATTATAAAAGGATTTGGCCTCAAGCAACTTTAAACCTCCATATCTTATACATTGATTCAGGAAATTGGTATAGCAACAGAATATCTAATTGCATGCCATTGTATTAGGTTATACATAACAAACAACATCCTTGATCTATATGAGCCCTGCTGATGAATAAGATGTAACTGCTTAAATCTACAACTTCTAATGTACTCATCTATAATGCTTTTTCTTTATCAGTTCATGAAATAACAGAGCAGTTGATGATCCATCAGCAGAATATCTTCTTCACCCCAGAATTACAAAATAAAGTGGATCCATGAGGAAATTACATTTTTCATTCACCATTCTCTCCAAATCAGGATGCTAGTCTGACTTGAATGAAGAATAATACATAAATTTACTGATTTCTTTCCTTTTCTTCTAATTTTTTTTAAAAAATTTGTTTTCTTCTTCTTTTTATTTTACTTTATCTTATTTTATTTTCGGGTTGGAGACAAAACAAAAAATCCTATACTTTGTCAGGAACAATGACAGGAAACAGAGCTCATGAAGAAGTCAATCACATGATAGCATCTCCTAATTCCCTTCGCCACCATGAGAAGAACAACTTTTACTATTATAGATTATTATGTAGTTTTTAAGTTTTCAACCTTTCTTAACTGTACTAAAAAAGAAAAATTCATATAGCATCATATTCCATCTGATGAAGTTGGTGCACAAATGCCCAAAAGAGTAAATCAACATGGAAACGGAAGGAGTTATTGACCAGCAAAAACTTTTATTATGTACTGGAAACAATTGGAAGATAAAAGAAGACAGGAAAAGCAAGGGATCAGGTACCGCTTTCTCAATGGTAGGAAAATGCTGCATTCTGTTTGTAAGAATTTTCTGCATATGAATCAATGAGGCCATTGCTGTACCCTGGGATTGTAGGAAACTTTTGTGAAAAGAGTAGATTAAAACTTGGTGTCTTGGATGAAAAATATGCATCACAAAAAGCAACCTCAACAACATCCACTACAACAAGTCCACACAAGGTAGGTAGCTGTTTCCTTGCAGCAACATGAACCGCAACGGACCCTCCCATGCTGTACCATATTTCAAGAGGAAAAAACATTTCAAAACTTGAGGATCCCAATAGGGTTGGGAAATTCATCTTAAAAACAGTTCACATGCCTACATATGCATCTTTGAACATGTAAAAAGTTATCAACTCTAAACAATAAAAAATAATTAAGATAAAAATCTGCAACATCAATCCACCACAGAGTTCAGCTGCTAGAAGCAAATTTTCTGATCTAAGCCAAATGACAAAAGAAAATGTCCTCCACAAACTTAGAACTTCGTTTCTAGACCTGCCCTAAGTGGTAATACCTCTTCACACACTGAAACTACTCAAACACTTAAGACCCTGCAACGAGAGCAATAAATCCAACACCTACCACTCTCTGCATGTGACCTTGTGGCATATATTTTTTCTTAATTTCACAAACCTGTTAACTATATCTAAATTTGTTATCGAGCCAAAAACTCAAGGTCTCCCCTGCACCAACATTTCCTCTTCTCCACGAGCCAAATAGTGGTAACTATTTCATCATAAGAAAATCAATTCATCCTCTCTGCATGTTATCTCATGGCACATATACTTTCCTTGTCCAATAATTGCACTAGTAATAATCTCTAGGTGTAAAAAGCACTCCATCCGCAAGAAGAAAGAGCTCATGAAATTGCCTGACAAGGCAGGTTCACATACCCCCAGGCTTTTGCACTCAAGTAGTTCTCATAATGCCAATTCCTAATAAGAAGTTAAGCTTTCAACAGATTGTACGAGGCATTCAAAGCCAAATCCTCAGCAGATTAATAACAGACAACGCTTCCTAAAACACAAATGAGGGAGGGATGAATTTTTTTCAATAAAAGAGGGGCTTAAGAAACATGAGTTTCAATTCACAACAATATCCAACAAAAACAATATAAAATACTTTTACTGCTATCTTTAATCTCATTATACATGAATAGAATAATCTTTTGCCTTCGTTTCTTAAGAGACAACAAAGAATTCGCCTATAATACCTTCTTGCCTTCCTTTTGTTATCTAAGTAAAATAGAAATGGATGAGAGGGGGATCATAGACACTGTGCAGTCTCGACCAAGATGTTAGCCCCTAAAGAAGTTCAAACTGGATGGATTGTATCAGCTTTTCTGTTCCTAGGAAGCTAAAAAAGCGTAGAAAATGCCTTTGCTGGGGGTACTTAGATTTGTAGAGAATCTTTTATTGCAAATGAGAATACTCATTCAAGAATCAAATGGAATAGAAGGGCTGGTTAAGTTAGACATAAGAATATCATAAAGTCAAATAGAGCTATCAATTTAGACTGTACACATTTTCTTTTTTTCTTTATTGATCACTCTTTTGATGATTAGATTCCTTCAAATTTCTTTCCCCATAATAAGTAAATAAATACCCTTATTTAGTACCCCCGTTTATAAATTCAACTTCTTCCAATCAATCTCTCCACACCAAGCAGATAGACATAGGCACATTAATAGGAGAACGCAAATTCATAGAGTTACTAATTTAGTGAGAGAGGTCATAACCTGTGGCCAACAAGCACAATTGCGGGAGGAGAATCTCCATACATTGTCTTCAACACAGCTAATACATCACTGCACAGAGTCTGTAATCATTATAAACAACTTCAATGCAAGCAATCAAGGACCCAACACTTTGCCTGGAAACAGTATTTCCCCCTAACTCATTATAAACATCACATGCATTGATGAAGGAGAAAATCCTCAATCCTGGTTTCTGAAAGCATGTGACTATACCTCAATAGACAAATCTAACTCATTTTCTGTGGATGACTTTCCATGTCCTCTGAAGTCCATAGCTACAACACGAACTTTCTCCTTAATTTTACTTGCAGACAGTGCAAATGAAAGCCTGGGAAAATAAAATAAAAAAATATATCTATATACTCTCACAATGGAAACACGGGAAAAAAGTTAAAGGTAAAGGAAATACAGTTGTCAGTAACCACGCTAACAAAAAATTCCAGCAATTACAATTACAGGGACGTTTTGGAGAACTTTAGGTCTTTCAACTTCCAATTTTTGATTTGTTGGCAAACCACTTGTATAAAGTTTTTAGAACATAGAAAAGTCAGCCAATAGCATGTAATGAAACTAAATTCTCATACAATTGACATTTTTCAATTTATGCGTTGCCTAAGATTAGAGAATCTTCTCTAAATTAGTGGCTAAAGGTGAGACATTTAATTAGGTAACTTAACAGCACAAAATCTTAAATCAATCTTTGCAAATGTTTAATGACAAACATAGCATTCACATATGTAGTTCAAGAAACATGTCTTAAATTGCCATTTAGGCAATACATATGTACGGTTATTGATGTAAGATTGATACACAATAAGGTAAAGGAGATAGTCAAAACTTTTTCCACTGAATTACACACTCCACAATGTAAGCCAGAACTGGACCTTTTGTCAAATGGAGATTGGACATGATCAAAATAGGATCATCACAACATAATATTCAAACGCTTTACACGAACCAACACATATTGGGTAAAGGATGCATATCCCCATGGCTGGGATAATCTGCTTAATTAAATAGAGTACAAGGAGCTTTAGACCGGGAGTAATTCATTGCAGTTATTTGTCCATATGTTTCACATCTATTATATGGGTATTAGTAAACAATGAAATGGAAATACAATCTAATTCCAAAGATTTTGCCTCAATAAGAAACACCATAAAAAGCAGATGGAAATCTAGCATTACAATCTAAAATGTTGCTTCTCAAATGCACCTATGAACAAACATTTAATTTAAATCCAATTACCAAGAGATTCCTGTTGTTTGATGTCCTGATTCCAAGTCATTTTCTTGTTGAATACTGTGAATTGTTTGGATTTAAATCTGCACTTATTGACTTGACTGATCTATTTATATTCCTTTCAAGGGATCTCAATCTCTTATTCAATTACAGCAATGGTGTTTCCTTAAGCCTTTTTCTTCAGAAATTAAATGGCATTCAGCATCAGACTCAAATATCAACCAGGAAATGTTTGCCATACAAGATAACCTCTTGGAAAACTCCAAGCTCTGTGCTTATTATGTGGGAGAAGCATCCAAACAAGCATTGGGGGCAGAGGTGAACCATCCATCAGTTGGCTCGATCCGCCAGGGATGACAAAAGTGAATGAGCTGTGAATTGGCTCTCTCTTGATTTACTCTAATAATGATTACTAAACTCCACACAGCATTGGTAAAAATTACTGCTAATCTAAAGGACTAAAAGTTGTCTGTTACTTCTTTATTTTCTATGAATAAAGCAACCTATTAATGAATCAGTTTGGAAGAAGTTGGGAAACCTATAGCCATAGATATTCTGTCCCTTATAATACCAATGCTGCACAATGTTCTGTTACTTCACATGATCCACCAGATTTCACTATTTTTTATTTTTATTTTTTTAAAAAATTGTGTTTTAACTGTAGAGACTTCTTACTCCACCAAAAGACTTGAGTAATTCTGGTATTGCTTTTTCGAGACAGCATGTCCATTCATATTTTGAGCAGTTTTTGCCACTACAACACGCTAAATCATATATGTACTAATTTGGGTCACATATCAGCGAAGAACCCTTGTAACAAAGCAATAGTGTCAAGAAGTGAAAACATTAACAGAAAAGCAATAAGGCACCAGATAGAGAGAGAGAGAGAGAGAGAGAGCAAAAGGCAACATTCTGGACAAAAATCAAATCAAACATACCCAGTATAACCACCTCCATGCAAACAAAAGATAACTGGTCCTTGTGTTCCTGCCAAGTAGACATGAAAGACCTGAAAAAACATAAAGACACAGATGATGATCTCACAAAATTAAAAAAGAGAATGAACAGCTAAAGAACAGTTTAGCAAAACCACTGACATCATTGGAACCAGGAATGGAAACATCATCCTCACGGTCAAAATATCCAGACCAATCTAGAGGTGCATATTTTTGAGAAGATGTCCTGCAGCAAAAGATCAAAAAACTTTGGATCCAGAATTGGATGTTCAAATGCTGGGCAGGAAAGAGAAACGTTATGCAAATCTATTCGACATTCTTGCCATTACAAACTCATTAACAAACTCAACAGCTACCGCTCATTTGGTTCATAAGTTTTGGGACTCATCAATCGGTTTTAGGTTCTCTCAAGCATATATTTTGTTTGTACACCTCTATGGCAATAGTCACTACTCACTTTTAGGTCGACTGCTTTTAGGTCGTCCAACCCCAAGAAACCATTACCTGTTGAAGTAGGCACCATCATCTCTGGTTACCCACCTTCTAAAATAAAATGAAATGATTTAACTTTTAACAAAGCCCAAAAATGTCATTTTTTTCTTCAGGAAAAGACATTCATTCTTCTTCTCATAGACAATCCACTTAAACTGTTTCCTCTTTCTCTTTGTTCCCTTCAAACTTCTTAATATCTTGGACAATGCAGATTTGCAGATCACAAGAACATCCATCGAGAGGGAGAGAGAGAGCGAGAGGGAGAGAGAGAGAGAGCTTCTGCACGATATAACCATAAGTAGAACTTCATAATGTAATAAACACAGAGTAGTTTATCTCACATAGAGGTAATCAGATTGTTAATGCTTCAACATTTCAAAGTTGACTGGTCCACAAGTCACAGAAAATATAGTGAAACAGTAGGCTAGCAATAAGAGGTGGAATTAAGTATATTGCCATTTTAGGAAATGAACAAACTCCCAGATATCCCAGAAATCAAACCATCAAATTAACAATTTGATAGAGGGAGTAGATTTAATACATGGCAACTAAATACTGTCAGTCCAATCTTCTTAGGCACATAACTAGAATATTTAAAAATAGTAAATAAGAAATTTTTGGTGTTTTTCTCCTAATGTCACCCTATATCCTATCTTCATCATCCCCCTTAACATAAACTTCTCAACTTTTTCTTCAATTAACACTCAATCATCTGTAGTTATTAATTCATCATTGCCACATAAGTGTTATAACAGAGATGGCAATCTAGTCTAACTCGATCAGCAACATGTTTATAAAGTTTGCAAGATTTTAAGGCTTTTCAAGCCAATCCTTAATTAACAAGTTATTATGTCTACTTTCGTCACAAAATCAAGTCTTTATTCAATCACAAATATGTTTTATCTCGTCTTCCTTCCCTGAAAACTATGTTCAACTACCGCGGCAGCAAAGATTATTGCTAAGAGAAACCTCAAACCAGTCGAAAACAAATTTGAAGTCTCTGTAGCTAAAAATATATCAAACTTTCTTCAGAACTAGCATAAAAATAGAAATCTAAACTATACTGATCACAACGCAGAAACCTAACAATTCAAAATGAAAAAACAGAAAGCTCAATTTTAAAATCATGATCAAGCATTTAAACTAAACTAACAAAATCCTCAATCAAAATCATAATCCAGCCTGAACGAATTTAGAAAAGCATGTAAGACAGCAAATTTGCATGCGTAAGACTAGAATAAACTGAAATGAAAATAGAGCGAGAGAACTGACTGAATTGGAGGACGAGCAGGAACGGAAGAGAACGCGGAAGGAACTTCATCGTTAATATTGTTATGATCAGGAGGATTATTGCTGCAATCTCTGGCGGAGGTTTCTGCCGGCGGCGACTCCTCCGACAAGGGAGCTAAGTTGGACGGCGCCGATGAGTCCATCATCAAAATCTCAAGACTGATCACTTTTTCACTTTTTTTTTTTTTTTTGATTTTTCAGTTACTAAGTATTATTTGGAAGGAAAGAACACGAAAAGGCCACAAAAATTCACCAGTGTGATTGAGTCGGTCGGTTCATTTTATGGATTTGTCGTGGAGTTAAGGCCCAATACGGTTCTAGATTTTTCAAGAAGGTCTCAGCCGAGACCGGGATTAATTTATAAAATACAAGCATGGATTTCGGTGGGCTAAACTGGTTGAGGGTGCAGAGGTTTGTTTGATAGGAATTATTCAAAGAAAAATGTTTCTAATGATTTTCTAAATACATTTTTCACCATATTTTTTTATCAAGAAACTTTTTATTTCAAATACATTACATCAAAAAAATATATCAGTAAATGAATCTTTCTTTTAAATAATCTCCAATCCAAAGAAACTCTCTCATATTTTTGTGATTTAGTGAATATATTAAGAAATACTCTCGAATTTCAAATGAAAGAATGTGAAAATGGTTTGAAAATTATCTTGTGAAAACAGCCAATCTAGAACCTAAAGTCCAGCTTCGTCTGACAATAGATTCACATTCTATCAATATGTCTTCCCGTAAATTGTTATTATAAATAGTTGGATGTGAAAATCTTGTCATAGTAGCACAATAAAGAAATGAAATTGTATATACAACACTTGTGTCTTTCTTTTTTCAATTATAGTTCCCAATAGGTAGCATTTTCCATCTTTTCTAAAGGGTTGGACTAATGCATGTCTATTGAATAATAAAGAGAAAAATCATTCGAAACGTTCATCACAGTTTGTCAAATTAATTTTTTCATTTTTCACTTTTAAAATGGTAATTTTACGTCCCTTATAAAATCAAGTGATTAAATTTTGATCCCAACATAGATTTTCAATCATCTTTTAGCTTGAATTTATCACGTGATCCCACATGGTCGTTTTTTTAGGAGAAAAAAAATTAGATCCCATTTTTTGTTAAGCAAGCAAGTGACCCAATCCATATTCATTTTTGCACCTAAAAAAGTAGAATCCGATGTGAATTATATTCATTTTTTTTAAAAAAATGGGATATGATCCAATCTATATTCATTTTTACTACTAAAAATAATGAATTTGACAGTTGTATTTAAAAAAAAAAAGATTGCATATGGGTTATGTGATGATTTCAGTTTAAAAATTGGTCAAAAATTTAAATTGTGGACCAAATTTTGCTAAGTTAAATTTGTAAATGACATAAAATTAACATTTTAAAAGTGAAGAACGAAAAAATTTATTTTGACGAAACGTGAGAGACGTTTTGAACAATTTGCACAATAATAAATTCTGAATGCTGCGCAATTCTTTAAGGTTTCAATATGTGTAAGATATGTATACGTGCAAGTGTAATAATTGTTACAGTGAATATCATATCAAATTGGAAGAATTCCACTACATCAATTGTAGATAATAAGCTGCAGAAAATGCTAGTATATTACAGCGACAGCTGAAAAAGCCTTCTAGAAGTTATTTGAAAACACGTATTGTTTTGTCTAATCTAATGATAAGGCATGAATCATGATACACGAGGGAGGAAATTTTCAAAAAGGTCAAGCACTCACTATAACGTCCAAAAAAGCTCATTTTCACTCGGTCTAATTCATAGATTTAGAACATGTGGGAAATTGAACATGGTCAAAGATCAACCATGCAAAAAGGGATGTTAATTGACAAGTTTAAGAAACTGAAAAACCCATCTGCAAACACCATGAATATCAAGTGATTGATGAGCAAAATGGCCTTGATCTATAGACAGACTATATAGTGACATTAAAAAAAATGAGGAGAATTTAAAGTGAATATATTCTTCACGAATGGTCCTGTTTAGCGTCACGATTGCAACTGGAATATGCCAAGTTGAAGATGCTCTATAATGTCCTCCACTGTTACGGAGAATGCACTGTCCATCTGCAAAAATGAAAATAGTGCATGAGGTTATTGCATAGTACTGCAGAAAACAGGATCTTATTTGGTAGGTTAATTTCTGGTATGAGGGGGGGGATGAGGAGAAGAGATTGATTGGATTAAATCCAATATTTATTTCACTTGAAAACCAAGGATATTAAGGACTAAAGAAGAAAGAACACTAGCATGCAAACCATGTAGTTTAGAATTCCTCGAAGAATTAGTTCCATAAAAGGATTCAAGTAAGGATGTAGAAAGTACCTGAGCCTTAAGAGTGATGTCAAGTGTACAAGAACCAAATCTTAAGATTCTGGTATCTAGGATGGTAAGATGTAGCTTCTCGAGTTCGGTTGACATACTTGAAATGGATCCATAGTATTTTTTCTCACAAAGGATTTTTATAAGCACGCTTTTGCCTTGGATCTTGACCTTGATCTCGGGAATTTGTTCAAGTGTGGTGCCTTTGAAGGAAGAAGTATTATCACTGCATGTAGAGATGATACATCTTTCTGCCATGGTATTAGGTGCTGTGGAGTTGTTCTTTTCCCCTTCCTCTAGAGTCTTTAAACGTTCTTGAAGCTCTTCAATGTGCTTGGTTGCATCTTCAAGGACAGAAGTTTTGTCCAGCTGAATTGAAACAAAATGAATTTGATGCATAAAATGATGTTATTTCACCAAATAAGCTAACATTTGCTAATAAACTTCTTGTTCGATATCGTCAAAATGTATTAAGTTCTGATATCATGTAATAAATGAAAAATCCGAATGGTTATCAGTAGTTCATGCCTTTACTAGATTAACTTTCAAAAATCAAATTAAGCCATATATGCTGTTTTCAAATGATTAAAATGTGGCTTCAACTTCTTGAAGCATATAAAACAATCTACAAATCTTAACACAAAGGTTCATACAAGATTCATACAAGATGCATGTGCTAATGGTATCCCCCACCGGCTGTTTAGCTAAGGTTGAGGCCAGGAAACTTGTTGAGATAAAACATGAGGAAGAATTACAGCTTCAGTAGTACAGGCAAAACAAGGCCTTATGTCTGTTCCACACTACTTACATGGCCTTATCAAGGTAACAGTCATCAGTCATGACAATTGACAGCATAATACCATGTTCATGGGGTTTTGAAATTTTAGTATTTCTGATGGCGGCTAAATTTACTGGTTTGATCATCTATCAAGCCACTCTTGAGTAAACTGAAGGACAAAAAAAAAAAAGCAGATGTACAAACTGACAAATTTCATGCACCAAATTTAAGCTAAGAATACCTTTTTGAGGCCTGGAACAAGTTTTGAAAGAGCTATGAAGAGGTCACTCAACTTTTCTCTTCGCTTCCTTTCTGCCGCAACATGATATTGAGCTTGAATTGGCGTTCTCCTTATGGGGCTTCTGCTATTGTAAACAATATCATCTTCTGAGACATGACAGGGTTCTCATCAGAGGGGTTATTCGTCGAGTTCATACTTTCATACAACACTTCATGATAACTCATTGTAGTTGTACAAGGATAATTACCGTATAATTTCTCACCATCTGATGAGTATGGACTTGATTTTCCAAAAGAAATAAATTGAGTTGTAGAGAATGGAGATGAGCCCTTTTGACTTGATTCAACAGTAGGGTGTGAAGGGCTCAAATTGGTGTCGTTAAGCTGCTTGAATTTCTGTTTCATGCAAGTCTGAGGCATCTGAATCGGAATACTTTCTGAATTACAATATGATATTGCGGGGAAAACCTCGGAAAGAAAAGGTTTGATGTCGAAAAATTCATCATCGACTTGTTCATCTGGCCATGAGTTGATTATATATTGATTGTTGAAGCCGGCCATGTCCATGCTGCCCTATGAATTATCAAATTACAAGAAAAAATTGATCAAGAAACAGCAAGTTAATATAAGGATGTACTTAACACACACACAAAAAAAAAAAAATTGTTTTCGTTTTTATGACCGAAATTTTTGAGAAATAAATGATATAGGAAACAATTTTACGACCATAATGAAGAAACAGCCACCTTAGGTCAGGTAATTGGGAGGTTACCAGTAATGAAGATCAACTAATGCTTTTGCTCCTCAGTTTAGCAAACTAATGGAAAACAGTCAACGACTCTCCTCGCTCAACTCCTGAATTAGACCGATATATTAGTGCAAAAGTAAGGATTGTGGATAGATGTAAAACGTGCAAGAAATCAGGTCTATTTAGAAAGAAGTGGAAAAGATGCTGCTTGGAAACTTACCTCCATGGAAGAATATGAAAGGGGTTCGATATCTTTTGTCAAAAGAATTTTTGCCTTTTGTCAACTGGTCCAGAAAGGGGTTCGATATCTGTACTTTCTCGCAAGTGTGGACGTAGGGACTTCAATTGCAGGTCTTCCTTTTTGAGGCACTGTTAATATGGAGGCTCCTCTTTATGCACCCACACGTGAGCAAATTGGAATTTTTTTAATGCAGGAATTGCTTGCATTCACCCAAGAGTTGTATATAATTTCAATCTTTCTTTATCAAAGAAAGCTCATTCAACAGAACAATTTTAGCCCTTGTTTGGATTGCTTGTTTCCGTCGGAAAATATTGTCGTTTTCCGTGATCACATTTCCCTATTACCTTTTTCCCTCACATATATCAAATCGCTACAGTAATTTTTCCATGAAAAATGACGAAAAATGCAATCCAAACACAAATTTTTTCTTCCATTCTCACAAACTTTCTCAGTAGATTCTTTATGAATACTTTATTATTGCACTTTCAATTTGTTAGTCTACCACTTCTTTTTGAACTACAGAAGTTTTATGTACCAATATATATATTTTGTACCTTTCAGTACTTTTGCCTCCCATTTTCTGGTGTTCGAATGGGAATAATGTGGATTCTCTAGATCTTCACCATTTGATGATCACCCTTTATAGAATTTGTACCAACTACATGATTAATTCTCAAACTCGAGCTTAAAAAGGGAAGGAAAAAAAGAAAGAACACTTGTAAGATCACCCATTCCTGTGTAATCAGTTGCACTAATTCACGTTCATTTACTACTGGAGGAATTTTTGTAACTTGATTTCATTACCATTGCCAGTTGTAGTAGTTCACATTCTTAAACAAGAAAATAAGGAATATTTTTACAAACCTCCCCTGAGGTTTATAATGATTACAGACAGTACCCTTTAGGTTTAAACAATTATAGAAACTTCCCTTAAAAAATACTTGAGGACTCACTTTGCT